TCAAATAAATAAATAAAATCTTTAAAAAAAAAAAAATGGACAGTCAGAAAAATACCTTTTTCTACCCACTTCAAAGAAGGTGGTCTACAGTATTAAAAAACAAAAAAGCCTAGCACAGTAACTGACATTATTACCTGAAAAACATTGAGGAGAGGGTAGCTACAGATACAGTACTAATTTGAATTTAGAAAATGGTTTGGTTGCAGCACTGATGTTCAAAACACCACTAATGAAGATTTGATTCTTCTGTAGGGCAGTTGGCATAGAGAAAAATCTGTGCCAAAAGGCACTGTGAAATACTCTATGAAATACTAGTTTTATTCAAAGTTATCAGTGATAGTTAAGTGGTTAGCCAAAAGAGCGTATTAACTATGAGATTAATGAATGGGACTCCTACATACTTAAAAAAATCAACAAACATTTTCATAGGGTTGGTTGCTTTATTTTCTAAAGGAAAAAAATAATAACCCTAAAAAACAGTGATTTGGAGCCAGCTTAGTGTCCTAAATAAGCTAGATAAATTGTATAATGTGTCACTGTGTATAGTGGTTTGTGTACTAATGAGTTCCCCAAAACTGTCACCTTCATTTTATGAACTAAAGTTGTGATAAAGAGGGCGCCTGGCTGGCTCAGTCTGAGGATCATGCGACTCTTGATCTCAGGGTCCTGAGTTCAAGCCCCATGTTAGGTGTAGAGATTACTTAAATAAATAAATAAACTTAAAAAAAATAAAAATAAAGTTGTAATAAAGACCCAGTAGAATAGTATATTTTACACATAGGCATTTTTGCTATGTAAAACTTAGATAAATTAAAATTTTCCTTTTTAGCATAAACTAATCAACAGACTGGTCATGGTATATTCAGTTTATGGTAACCCTTACGTATACTTAGATTTGTTAATTGTGGGTTCCAGGTCGGTGTCTGATCGTGAGCTGACTAAATGTCTGTGATCCCAGGACATATATAGAAGGACATATTTCCCTTTGGGAGTTGTCTCTTCCTTCTCCCCACAATGAATTGGAAAAGTAAGCAAAGCACAGTTTAATAGTTTAAAGGACAGAAACCCAATTCATCTATAGAGTATATTCCTGTGCACTGGCAGATAATGGAACAAACTTAACTCACTTTAAAGAACTATTGTGATTATATGTGTACTTAAATACTATATAACATACCACTCTTTCATAGCCCAAATGTGTGTTTTAGTGTTTAACCTTTGCATGTACTTCTGATTAGTGTAATCATTATAAAAGTGCTATCCCTGACTTGATTTGTTACTAGATGATTTGTATATAATATAAATTATTCAAATTTCTTCGTAGATCTATTCTTTTGAACCACATGGCCAGAGAACATGCTTTCAACATTGGATTGCCAGACAACATTGTAAACTGCAATGAATTTCTATGCACATTACAGAAAAAACTGGACAAGTAAGTATTTTTTTCATGAAACACAACCTGAAGCTATTTTAATTTTGGACTCTTGGGAATTTTTTTTATTGTCTGTTGTGAATTTTTTAAGATTAATCTAATAGAACTAATTAATAAAATGGAATTTTCTTCTTTTTGTCTAGATCATATTGCCTTTTACTGCTTTTTAAAAGAAGTATCATATTACCAAACAGTGTACATACCATGTAACATATGCTATATAGGGTATGAAGAGTATACTCTACATCTGGCCTAAGAAATAGAACAGGGATGCCTAAGTGGCTTAGTCAGTTAAGCGTCCAGCTCTTGATTTCAGCTGAGGTCATGATCTCAGGGTCAAGTCTACTTGAGATTCTCTATCTCTTTAAAATAAATAAATCTGGGGCGCCTGGGTGGCTCAGTCGTTGGGCGTCTGCCTTCAGCTCAGGTCATGGTCTCAGGGTCCTGGGATCGAGCCCCGCATCGGGCTCCCTGCTCGGCGGGAAGCCTGCTTCTCCCGCTTCCACTCC